AGAATTTTTTCTGATTATATTAAAAATATTTAATGAAATTACACTATAACATTTCACACAGTTTTGCAAACATCCGCATATGTTTATTGTCACAATACCAACTTTTTTCAAGGCGCACCTTGAATTGTTGTACGTTAATGGTCCGCATGATATGAAGTTAAGATATCAACTAACTAGAAGCACATTTCATGCATGCTTTAAATCTGTACTGGAGGTGGTGCCTGATTTTGGTCAGTGGTTTGGCCTCGTGTGTTCTCCCCTCTATCCTTCTCTGTATAAGTAGACGCGTAATTGTATTTAGGGCCGGCAGTAGACAAGCCCTTCGATAGCTTGCGAATCATGTTGGTGGAACTATGAAATGGGAGGAGCTAACTGGTTGTAGGTTCATTTTTTGGGGATTTTCTGCTTGCTGCAAGGGATTTTCTACTTTCTTATCACGTGGTACTACAGGTCTTGTACATTGTCAATAAAGAAACAATAATTAAAATTGAAATATATATATATATATGTTTATTTATTAATAAAATTAATTTAAATGTAAATTGCATTGCATCAAGATATTCTTGTATACTGCAAGGTATTCTTGTATTAATGTAATTGTAACTAATAACCAATGTTTTGATTTTTATCATATTATTGCAAAGTATAGTGTCGCGATATTGATGAAGACGCAACGAAGAGTGCAATTCACAGATCGGCAGGGTAAAAGCGGACCTTCAGTACTCAATAGGGCTATAAAAGCCTCATGTGAAAAGACATTGTTTGGCTCAGCTGCGGCCACTACGCGTCTCCATACTACCAATGCGAGGGATCGACCGAAAGGTGCATCTGAATCAACGGTTGATTAGGAAATTAAGTGGCTTATTCTTCTCGGTGGTCCGAGCCGTTGATCGCGTAGGCGCGATATCGTTCGGATTTGTCTAATCGTCCGTTGATCTTGATGCACCTAGTAGTCGGTGCTATCTTGCTAATTCATGTCTCTCTCTCCCTCTTTCTTCCCTTTTTTTTTGTACGCTATAGATGATCATAAAACGCTTTCGCCGGACACGATGTATTTATCGTTTTAGAGATAAGATTAATCACTCATGTGATTAAGTGAATATGCACAATTGAATATTGCTACAAATCCCAAAGCAGTAAATTTTGCATGTCATTAATTTTTTATTTAAAAAATGAATAAAAACTAATTTTATATACACATATATATATATATATAGGGTTGGCCATATTCGACGGAAAGATGTTTTTTTGTTAATCATGGGGAAAAAACACATTTTTTGCGTTTCATTGTAAAAGCCATTTTTAAAAAAAAACATCTTTCCGTCGAATATGGCCAACCCTGTATATATATATATATATATATATATATATTTGATTTTGTATCTAGTTATTCACTTTATGAATCGCTCGACTTTAAATTTAATTTAATAATCGCTCGTGAATTCTTAAGATACGTGCTTTCGAAGCTCCACATACCTTACTAGTCTGATTCGAAACCAGAAAAGGGGCATGGTTCCTTCAGGCTGCGTACCTCTTTCATGAATGACGTGATTCATCCGTGTGTATGATGTCGGAACAGGGAATGACACGAGTGTTCACAAGCCGCACCATTCCCTGTACCAACCCCTCCCTGATCGCTGGAAACTCGAGCACGAGTGTTTCACCATTCTATCGCGCCCTAAAATGTACACGGCAAGTGTTTCCTCTGCACGATTCGTGAGTAGAAAACAGAAGTATGAAAGATTTGTGTCCACATACCTTACTAGTAAAGGTGTAGCTAATTAGGAAAATATAGAGTACGAAATTTGATTACATAAGAAGTATTCATTATTGAATAGTTTAACTATGATATTTATTATATTTATCTCTGTCAGAATCTTTTTGTTATCGATGTAATAAATTAACTTAAGTATAAAATAGTTTAATAATTAATTATAATAGTTCAGCAAATTAATTATAACTTGCAATCATTTCTTAAACAAATTATTATATAGAAGATAATATTATTTATCTACTTACCTTTCTCGCAGTTTCCTGATAAATTTCGTTTGTCGCTTCGCACTACAGTAGAGGGTCGTTCCCTCTGATCGTCTCTTTCTAAAATCAGGGTGCAATTCAGACAACCGCGGAGCCAGCAAGCGAGCAAGTGTTCCGCCGTGACCAATGGGCCCCTTGCACGCATGTGTGCGCTTCCCAATGCGATATTAATATCGCGATTATCATCTACGTATTATCGCTGCACCCTTATGGGTGGGATGTTCAAAATAAGCCTACGCGGAAACACCCCTCCGCGATCTTGTATTCGCGCACCAAGCCGTGCACCAAGCACCCGGTGTGACGATACACGAGGAGACTGCAAGTGCATTTTGGCCTTATATACGTCAAAGAACGCAATACATACTGTTCAGCTCTAACTATGATATTCCTTTTAATATATTAAACATAGAAAAGCTTGTGATAAAGAGAAACGGAATTAATTTTAGGAAGTAATCAATTATGAATATATAATATTTTTTTAAGATGATGTATTTTTAATATTAAATTTTTATTAAATTTAATATATTAAATTTAATTTTTAATATTAAAGTAATAATAAATAACATTATTAATATCATGCAATATACAGATTCCTTGAATTATATTATTATTGTTATAATTATTATGTCGATATGAAATCTTGAACAGTACTCAGCGATACGTATATTTCTTTCGCGAATAAATATCAAGATTTAAAAAAGAAAATTATATTATTTTGTGATCAATGAAATATAGCAAATTGATATAATGATGTATTAATATTATGAACTTTCTATATTATATCGTTGTTATCGATAAATACATTTTGCATACATTTGCATGAAAGTACGTAAACGCAGTGTCGCTAATGGGAGATGTGCGTGCACTTGGAATCTTTTGCCACGGGGAGACGGAACCAATCTTATTGTTCTGTGTCCCTTTACTGCATTCTGAGTTATGATCCTTTGCGGGAGGTGGTCATAAAGATGATTCGTCTCGGTTCTGCAAGTGTCAAAAGTCTAATGCTGCTTCCAACGAGACTGTGGCTTATGTATTATTAATATTCGCTGCGAATCGTGCTAGCTAGGCTGACTAGTTTAGCGAATTTAGCCGGACAAATAGTTATTTAAAGATTATTAAGAATTGTCTTCTATAGTATTTTTTAAATTTAATTTAATATTTTCACTTTATTTATATTGAATTTATATTGAATTTATATTATATTTTGCTACGAATATGCTGGAACAATTATTACAATCATGACTTATTATACAATTACTATAATTGTATATTAATGATAATTAAATAAGTATATCTAATTCTGTATACCTAATTCTTAGACAAAATTTTATACACAGAACATTTTTTTATTATATTTTAGAGAGAGAGAGAGAGAGAGAGAGAGAGAGAGAGAGAGA